TTTCTCCCTAAATGGTAACTTTTCACAAGAGATGATATATGTAGGTCCACCTGAGGATTGAGATTTTCTTTCCCCAACTAAAGATCAAAGGGTCTGTGGGCCTTACAACGGGTGCGTTATCCAATTATATGAGTGTCTATTTTCCTTAATTGGCTATTGTTTCCCCTTCAACGAGTTTGAAATCAGTGTTTTAAATCACTTGCTGGCTACCCCCTCACAATTTCATCCTGTGACCTGGGTTTTTGTTAAGGTTTTCCATCCTTGGTGTGAGTATAAAGGTAGCAGTCCAACGTTGACTTTATTTTTCCACTTCCTTGGGTTATAAAGTGGCTTTAAATTCGCAGATGGCTCAGACATTATTTCTTTGCATAAATATATGAGATACTTTGAACCTTATTCTAACAGTGTAAAGAATTTCAAAAACCATTTTTTGGTGATCCCCCTTACCCGGAGGCCAATTTAAGAATATGTAGTATGGATCCAAAGAATCCCTCTTCCTTTTCGAACATTTTTCGCAAGTATTATACTCAAGTTCACTTTTTGAATAGAGTTAGGCTATATCATTATAAGAATAAAGATTTGTGTCAAGGCGAGCAGTATTTAAAGAGTCAATTGATATATTTTTATCAAGGACTTAATATGTGGACAGGGAGACTCCCTTTGACCCCGCCTTTAGGAAGCAGTTGAAAATATGTATCCAAACTCATTGGCGTATAGACGTAAGCTCTAAGGAAGAAAGGATAAAGATTTATGGTAAGCAAATTTCATGATCAAGTGGTGATTCTCTATTTTTCCCAGCTTTCCGTAACGCCTTGTTTTTGTTTGCAAATATAATGAATGATAAAGACGCCATGCGATGATGGAAGAAAGAGGCATGAGATGTTAATGCACTGGTCGAAATTCCTAGGATATCGTTCGTTGGCAGGGCTTCTACTTTGGGTACGTTCTTTGTTACTCCATCTGCTCCGGTTGATGAGAATATTATTCAAGTAGTCTCTCAAGAGAATGAGGGTGTGATCAGTACCTATCCAAGAGATATGTTAACAGACGGGAACCCCTCGTTCCCTACCAGGGAAAGGGAAGAAATGTTATCCCCCGATCCTTGAGTCTGAGGAATTTTACGTCAGGGTTCCCCTCTCATATATCTTCGGAAATCTAAGTCGCTAGGAGAAATATATTTCTCTCAAAAGGATGCTAATCCCATCCTGCTAACTCGACCAAATCCAAGGATGAGTCGTGAGTTCCGCACTTTGATTTATGATGAGGATTCCTCATACTTTTCTGGTCTCCCTGATGATCCTCGCGGGGAAGAAATTGTTGAGTTGTACCAAGTTCGTTCGACATCCGGTGTTTTGGCCTTTGGTGCTACCATCTAGGAATAAGTTTTACTACCTAATTACTTATGTAGTGAGAGGTAAAAAAATAGGGTTATCGAACTCGCTTTTTTTTGGAATAAATGCCTTGACGAGGCTAATGACGTCTTCAGTTCTCTTACTACTATCAAAATTTCCTTAGAGCCCTTCGGATATACTGGTACTCTGTATGAACAATTACAAAGGTAGGTTCAAGCGGTGGTCGATAAGGATGAAGTTATGTCCGAGGCGAAGCGGACCTTGGAAGTTTCCCACAAGAAGGCTGATGACTTAGACAATGCCTTGAAGGAAACCTAAGATGATCATCTAAAGACTAAAGCAGTTATTACAAACATGCACGAGGAAAATCTCTATATTGGAGTTATACTTTTGTCTTTCATGGTCGATCTTGCATGTTTATTGGACATTTTTGGGGACCATGCCCGACTAAGGATTGATGCCTCCTCCCATGCCCCATGTAGGAACCTAGTTTGAGATTGACGTATTGGTGAACCCACAATTGCCTATGGAGTGGCTAGCTGACAAAATAGGATATGTCAATTATTTACCAGTGCTTTTAGGTGTGTTTGACTTGCTTATGTGCTGGGTTTTGGTCTGCTTAGTCGTTCACTTTGCCTTTTGTGTGTGGGTACTTTTATCCTTTTGGATGTGGGCCTTCCATAGTAAAAAGTAGAATTAATTTTAGAGGTAATGTTTCTTTTATTCTAATATTGGAAGGGAGGAATACATTTGGTATTTTTTATTTCTTAACATGGAATCAACCAGAAATAAATGTCGTAACTAGGGGGCTTCACACCATTTTTCATATGACAAGAAATTAAAGGACTCTGATAGTTTTTTCCTCAGCCATTTTTCTCTGGTTGTTTTTCCTCTGGCATCTTCTTGGTCGGTGGTTGGATTTCCATTATGTTCAACAACCTAATCACCAGGTAAAGTTTATCTTCATAGTAGTAGCTTCGCCCTTTTTTGATCTTGTTGTAGAGCCTGGTAGATCATAGGGATGACAACGGGGCGGGTCGGGGGCGGGTTTTACTATACCCGCACCCGCCTCCATGTAACACACCCGCCCCCGCCCCCAAACCCAATCGGGGGTAAAAATTTACCGCCAGACCCGCCCCCAGTAGAGAACGGGTGCACCCGCACCCCCCACTCGAAAAAAAAATTAATTTCTTTTTAATTGCAATAAAAATTAATAAATTAATTTAAAAATTGATTATTTTAATAAATTAATTAATTATTTAATTAAAAATTTAATTAATAAATGAATATTAATTTGATTAATTTAATTATTTTAATTGCAATAAAGGTAATAATAATTTAATTAAAAATATAATTAATAAATGAATATTAAAATAAGTAAAATAAGAGAATTAAACTAAAATGCATTATTCGGGGGCGGGGCGGGGCCGGGTGCGGGCGGGTCTTAGTGTCTCCCCGCACCTGTAATTAAAAGTCGGGTTTTCCCCGCACCCGTACCCGCTCAAACCGGATTTTCCTCGCTAATTTCGGGGCGGGTCCGGGCGGGCCCCGACGGGTCCGGGTTTTTTTGCCATGCCTAGTAGATCCTTTTGACTCGTGTTAACTCCAAATTTATTGTAGCTGGTTTGTCGTGGACGATTTGATATTTCATCTTGAGGTGGACAAAGAAAGCTACCACGTTTAAGGTTACTACAAAGGGGCGACCCAAGATGTATTTATAAACACTTTGGTAGAGGACAACCAAGAATTTGGCATCAATAGTTCTAACGTTCCACCTTTCTCCTAAGTTGATAATCAATTCTACATATTCCCATAGGAAAGTTACTGTACCGTTGAAGGATTGTAAGTCCTACCCTTCATATAGAAGTAATTTTTCTTTCTTTAATCTCATATTCTAAAAAAGTTCGACATATATAATGTCACAAAAACTTCCCTCGTCAATAAAAACTTGGGAGACGTCGAAGCTAGTTATGCTCACTATTATTACCAAGGGAAATATCTCGTTTAAAATTCCCCATACTTTCTCCCTATACCATAGTTCTAGGATATGCCTTTACGAGGTGCTGACCGAGGGAATCACATTTTTCTTGTTGGCAACCATTAGCTCGCCAATCATCCTTTTATTGTATTCTTGGATGGCATGCAGGGTTTAAGGGATCCTCCGGTTATGGAAGCAATGTACGTGCGTTTGTCTTTATGCTTCTCTTCTCTTCTAGTGTCCTTACATGTCCCTTTAGTAACCGTCTCTATTGTCTTATTGGGAGAATGCCCTTTCTTTGGAGACTTTTCCCTACTTCTCTTCCCATATTCTTTACATAAATGTGTCCTTATCATACCCTAACAAAACTTCAAAAAAATATATCAGCAAATTAAATGTATTGTTTAAAAAATTCATAATTTTTTTATAAAAGTATAAATTAAAATATGTAAAAATAAATAATTTTCTATGTAAAAATTACTTATATTCAATTTAATTATAAATTTAATTTATTTTTTAATTAAACATAAAAGATATTTAATTTATTAAAAAATGCCTAAAGAAGATCTCTTTTAACATTTTTACACAAATTAAAAAAATATAATTAATAGTGCTAAAAGATAAAAAAATATGAATTACTTAATACATTTTATTAATAGTATGAGAAAAATAAAAAATAATATAATAACAAAATACATATTAATTTTTCATTAATACTATAAAAATATTATAATTTTAATATTAATTTTTAGATGAACAAAATAGCCCAACTAATATGTATTAATTGAGAGTCAATTTTATATATATTTTCATAATGTAATAATATAAATATGTGATGAATATTTATAAATAAAAAACTTTTTAATAGAAATAAAAATGTGAAAATGAAAGATGTAAAAATATAGTCATCAATAAATAACGTGTATATAGATAAATTACATAAAACATTTAAAATTAATGAGACATGATATAATATTTTTTAAGTTTAATTACAACTTGTGCTTTCTCTTTATTTTTTAATAACGTGACAAATGATTATAGAAGAATTTCTTATAAAATTTTATAAATAAAAAATTTAAGTTTAAAATGGAAATTATAACGATTTTTAGTGAAAAAAATGAGAAGAAAGAAAAAGCGGTTAGAATTTAAAATAAAAAAATTAATTTTGTAAATCAAATAAAATTAAAGAAATAAAACTAATTAAATTTATGTTTTATTAAACGAATTAATGTAAAACTATTTTACCACTCAATAAAAAAAAAATAAGTATTTGATTAGAATGAGGAGTAATTTGAAACGGAAACCACTTTTATTAATATTAACTCTAAAATTACCATTTCAAAATATAACATATATGTTTAATACAGTATTAGTATGTCCAAATACAGTCCTTAATACAAAGAAAAAGGTACTATAGCACACTACAGTACAGTAGACTCTAGACACCAACAACAAGCAACAACACTACACAAAAGTAGCACGCACTTTTTCCCCATTTCTTTCGTTCACACTGCCTCTGCTTTTTTCACTCCCTTTCCGTTCCTCATTCCCCATATAAAAACAACCACAACCCCTTTTTATTTACTTCCCTCCGCGTTCTTTCTTCTTTCTCTTTCTCATTATTTATATTAATCAATTTCTGTTTTTAGGGTTTGAAATGTGGAGGGAGAATGGAACACTCTGAAATCGATTTTGCTGCTGATGCTGCTTCCAACGCCGAAGAACCACGAAACGGTTCTGAGGATCATTCTCCACCGTCAGATCTCAATCTTACGGTTAACGAAGATGATGCTTCACTTGCTGTAGAGCTTCATGAGAAGTTGGATTTGAAGGTTGAAGATGAAGAAGGGACTACTGAAACTGAGGTTAAAGTTTCCGGTGAAGAATCTGTTAAGGATGAAAATAAAGAATCTGTTGAAGATGTAGTGTCTGTTAAGGGGGAAGAAAGGGTTGATGGAGATAGCAAGGGTTGGGATACTAATAGTTGGAATGAGAATGTGAATGAAGAGCTTGGTGGTGGTAGAGATGGTGTTGGTTATGGTTATGGCTATGGTGATGGTGATGATGGTTATGGCGGTGGCTATGATGCTGGTTATGGTTATGGTGATGGAGGTGAAAAGAAGGGAGATAGCGGGGATGATTATGGCGGTGGTTATGGGGATGGATATGATGCTGTTTATGGTTATGGTGATGGAGTTGAAAAGAAAGAAGGTAACATCAGTGATGGAAATCACCAGTTTCCTTTGAGGCCTGAAGCTGAAGATTGTTCGTTTTACATGAAGACTGGGAGTTGCAAGTTTGGAATAAACTGCAAGTTTAATCACCCCATTAGGAGGAAAAACCAGGTTATTTCTTTTCTCTGTGATGGCTGTTTCATTTGAAGTTTGTTGTTGATGTTTCCCTTTAGATATGACATTGTTGAAATTCATGATTTAAGCTTATATTTGTCTTTTGCCCTGAAACACTTTGCTCTTCAGGAATTTAGTACTTATGATGATAACTGTTACATCGTGGTTGATTTGTTTGTGCCTAATGTTGAATTGTAATTTTTGGTGAAATTGGTATCCTTGCAAGTTGCAATGGCTTTAATACCACTGTTTTTGGCGTTTGTTTTTCTTTTTCTATGACATTGCTTGATTAGTTAGTCTTTGGACTTTATAATTGTACTCTTTGTGAGGTTTCCTATATGGCACAAGGGCTGCACTAGGGTTATAAAAATGGAAGATAATGTTTTCCTTTGGAAGGGACAGGTTATTGGCTTTTGTAATCAGGCAAATTTTATTTGATAATCTTACTTAAGATATTCTTTGTTTTGGTGTTTTGACTATATATGAAGGCTGTAAGGGAGAAGGTGCGAGAAAGAGAAGAGCCTGCAGAGAACTCAGGACAGACAGAATGCAAGGTTATTCCCCAAATCATTCTTCTAAACTATAATTTATATGGCAAATTCTAACTTCATACTATACCACTATCACTTTGGTTTTTTTATGTTGTTATTATGTTCATTATTAAAATACAAGTTCCCCAAGGTTATGGTTTTCCATGGAAGATTGTGTGCAAGGCTTATTCAAGGATGTTAAATCTAACATGATTGTTTCATTTCTTCGTGTCACCTTGAGGTCATAGATCATTTATGTTTGTTTTTTTGGGGCTGTCATACTATCCGGCATTGTTTTACACTTGTGACACCAAGTGGACCTGAGTTTGACAGCGGGACTTAGAAGCAACATATCTCTTACATTCGAATTCCTTAATTCTTAATTACTAGTTGCTTAGAATTTATAGATGTCACTTTTGGAGGATTATGTGTTAATCTATGTTATCTGTCGGGTGTATGTTGGCCATGAACAGAGGAAGCAAACATGGTGGTTTGTTTTTTATCATGGCATATTAGTTGACAGAGCTCTTCTGTTAAGCTTTATCATACTTTCCTAGCAAGGATAATATATATAATGGCAATGATAATAGAACTTTTCCTTACGTGTTTGCACTTCATATATATTTTTTATCTTATGCTATGGCAGTATTATCAAAGGTCTGGGGGTTGTAAGTTTGGAAAAGCTTGTAAGTTCAACCACACAAGAGGGTATGCAGCACCAATTTCAGAACTTAACTTTCTCGGGTTACCTATTCGTCTGGTACAAACTTATTTCTCACCTATGAAAATATATTTACTATTTGTGTTTTTATAAAATAGTTCTTTCTGAAATGTTTAAAATGTTTTGTTTGATAGGGAGAGAGAGAGTGCCCCTATTACATGCGCACTGGCTCTTGTAAGTTTGGATCAAACTGTAGGTTTAATCATCCTGATCCTACAACTGTGGGAGGAAGTGATCCTCAATCAGGGTATGGTAATGGAGGGTCTGTTCCATTACGAGGTGTATCCCAACAATCTGCCTCTTCATGGTCTTCATCAAGAAAGTTAAACGAAGCACCTTATGTGCCACTGATGATTACGCCTACTCAAGGACTTGCTCCTCAAAGTCCTGATTGGAATGGATATCAGGTAAATACATAGATTCAATACCAAAAGCCCTCTGGCAAGGGGTAATTTATTTTCTATTTAGTACAATTTACAAATTACAATAGTCTTCATTTATTTTTATCGATGTTCTGTGAGTTAAATTTTTTTACCAGATAAACTCTCACAAGTTGTTTCCCATCAAATTGATCTGTTTATGGTTTTAATTGTAAAGGCGCCTGTCTACTTATCTGAGAGGATCATGCATCCATCTTCTACATATGTCATGAACAACCCAACAGTTGAAACAAATGTGTATGTGCCTCATCAAAAGCAGATGCCATTTGAAGTGTTTCCAGAAAGGCCTGGTGAACCTGAATGCAGCTTCTTCTTAAAAACTGGGGATTGCAAGTTCAAGTCTAATTGTAAATTTCACCATCCAAAGAATAGGACTGCGAGATTGCCTCCTTGCAACCTCAGTGACAAGGGTTTGCCTTTGAGACCTGTAAGTTCCGCTGTTGTTTTTACACTATTTAAAATAGAATTGACACGGCTATGTAACCTAGATGTTGTTAGTTTCTGATTTAATTCCTTTAGTATGACTTGTCATATGAGTCTACAAGTTAGTTTGGCTAGTTTATCGTGTTCAATATTTATTTTTCATTAAATCCAGGACCAGAGTGTCTGCTCGCACTATAGTCGTTATGGAATTTGCAAATTTGGACCAGCTTGTAGATTTGATCACCCAGAAAGCGCACTTCCCTTGATGATGCCTGGACTCGGACAGCAATCCTATGCAAACCCGGCTAATGCTCAGATGGGTGGGATGGGTGGAAGTGCAGGTGACGTGACAATTCAGCAATCTGTGTAAACATCTTTGTCAAGGATCTTCTATCTTTTTGGATACAATCACCCTGAACATGTAGTTTTCCTCCTAAACATGATACATTTTATTTAGCTTTTATGGCTCTGTCCAATGCAAAATACAAGCTTTGCAGAGTATAGCAATATCTATATATGTCAAACAGTTTTCTTATGTATTTATTACAGGTTACCTATGCATCTGCAGATTGATTATCTGTTAAATCTGATTTATCTCCTTTGGATTTAAGTTAGACTGGTTTGGATGGTTGTGAATGTAACTTTCTTGTGTGTGTCCTTTGGGTCATTCATATGCTTACGCGTGCATTTGTTTTTCAACCAAATTTCAAGATTTGACTTCACCCGTCTGGGATGATGAGAAAGTTCCTAAATCTATTTAGGTTCCTCTGTTTTGAATCCGTTGTTTTTCTTGTAGTTTCTAAAATTGATATGAACATTGTTTATATTTGTGCTGAAAAATGATGATTAAACCATTAAATTTATTTTATACAATCTAACAATGGCAACTATCTCGAGAGACACCTTGTTTTTTTGGGTTGGTTTGTGAATGTGGCACAACATTTTGGTTTTGAAATAGTTTCCATGACTCGACTTTTATGATAGTCAAATCAGAATTAGTTTATTTGAACAAAAAACAATAGAATTGATTTAAAGCAATTTTATAGAATCAAATGTCACAACCACTTTTATCCCGTGTTCGACCAAACACACTAAACCATGAATTGAAAGAACCAGGATGAAAAGAAAGACAATATTATAGAACTGGCAAGATTAGATAAATAGTATACAATAATACGGCAATATTATTTTGTACAAGAGTTTCTGTTTAATTTTTACAGTTTTTTTTTTCTATTACACCACATTTCACACTATTATATGGCACATGTAATTTTTCTTACACGATAAGAACTAAACAAACATTGATGAATCTGAACACTAAAAAAGAAAAAGAAAGAAAAATGGTGTGCAAAATTCAATTTGCTTACAACTAACATCAACAATATATCAGCTTATGCTCCTGCGAGAACATGGTTGAGGCTTTTAGAATGCTCCCATTGTCTAATCCTTATTCACATCATATTCCATTGGCACATAAGTCACCATAGGGTCAACCGCAACAAAACCACTTACTCTGCAATTTCAAATTTCATTCATTAAAGAGGGGGCATTTAAAATCAAACCTGAACACAGACACTGAAAAGGACTAACATGAAATACTTAGTTTCACCTTTTGAGGAAACTCGTCGTCTTGGAAGGCAGGATCGGGCTTACGCGGGGTAGCATTGTGGACGGCAGTATTGGTCTTCTTCTCGTCTCTAGCCTTATTGAAAATGACGGTAAAACCTTCCGCTGAGGCAGGATTGTTCACATCCCACTCACCAAATTTAGGCAATGGCCTACCTTTATCCTGCTGCGTATATCACGAAAATGTCCAATAGTTAGTGCAGGAGGATCTTAATCTCATGATAACATGTTCTAGTAACGCATATCCATATCGTGATGGATCCTATTAGCAGTAAGATCTAGCCGTTCAAGCCTATCAATAAGATCTTGTAATAATTGGATTTATGCAAATAAAAATTCATTCCATCAAAAACAAAAGTTTAACTATCCTCTACATAGCATAACAACAATGCACATTATCATCAAATTTCCTATAATGCAATGCCAAGGACGAATGAAATCAATTAAAACAAATGATCCTCAAACGAGAAAAGGTACATTGCAAACAAGTTTCATAACATGAATTATTCATTGCATCGACAAAAATATAAGGAGAAAAATGAAGAATATACCGAAGCCATGGTATGAGAATCGCAGGAAGAGGTTCAGGTTGAGAGAAAAAAAGGCCAAAATAAATAAATTGAGGAGAAACACAGAAAGTATTTTAAGGAGGATTTGTTCGAATGTACAGGAATGTAAATCAAAACGGAATTAACAATTTCATGTTGGACGATTGAGATGGAAGGATAACCGTTTACTGTTATTTTAATTTCAACGAAAGCAACGGAAAAAGTGTCGTTAGTGGGTGCGTGTGCGTCTCAATTTTAATGTTAGTTCTCATAACATCCATAACTCATGCCTAAAAAAACAACTTACAAAACTATATTTTAGGCTAATAATTTTATTATTTTTAAGAGTAATGTTATTTAGTAAAATATAATTTCAAGAGTTTTAATTTGATTTTAAATTTAAATTTTTTTAATAAAAATTATGAAACACCGGTGATAAAGAATAATTCAGATTTATTCTCATCTTTCTTCTTTTCACTTTTTCTTATTAAAAAGTATTTTTTTATTTTTAAATAGGATGAAAAATAATTTACTGACAATGTTAATTTATATCCGTAACAAATTAATTGTCGTTTTGATAATATATATACATATATATTATTTTTTTATTTTATGAGAATATCATTAATAAATCTGAATATATATATATATATATATATATATATATATATATATATATATATATATATATATATATATATATATATATATATATATATATATATATATATATATATATATATATATATATTATTTTTTTATTTTATGAGAATATCATTAATAAATCTGAATCATTAAATTTTAAAATAAATGATAGAGATTATGTGTGGTTTTTATTTTTTCTCCTCCATTATTAAAATAAATGATGGAGAGAGAAAAAAAACTAACACATAATCTCCACCATTTATTTTAAAATCTAATGGTTCAAATTCATTTTTATTTTCTCACATAAAAATGACATTCTCATATAATACATTCTCTCTCTCTCTCTCTCTCTCTCTCTCTCTCTCTCTCTCTCTCTCTCTCTCTCTCTCTCTCTCTCTCTCTCTCTCTCTCTCTCTCTCTCTCTATATATATATATATATATATATATATATATATATATATATATATATATATATATATATATATATATATATATATATATATATATATATATATATATATATATTAAAATAAACAAATTACTTGTAAAATGAACAATAGTATTAAATAATCATACAAAAACAGAAAAAAAATGGACCCGTGAGGTAGAGAAAAAAAAGAAAATAGTGATATTTTAAGGGTTTTGTCTTGCAAAAAAAAGTAATTATTAATTAAAATAAAATATGTATTGTATTGATAGTGACTCATAAGATAAAAAGTTTATTTGATACGATCTAAAATGTATTTATATACACATGTAAATTTATAATGAATTACTTAATTGTAAAATAAAAATTAATTATATAAACTCAATTATATTAAATAATCATTGAAAAAAAAGACTCGTGAGATGGAGAAAGAAAAAAAAATTATATTTGAAAACAAGGACTTTGTCTTTCAAATTAAGCAAATTGTTCATTAAAATAATATAGGCATTGTGTTGATAGTGACGTTGACTCTAAATTTCGACGTCTGAATTGGATGGAAAGGAAGTAATAAAGTTTCTGAAAAAATCAGATGACTTCGACCATAACTATATTTTTGAAATGTGAGTCGAACGTGTCACTTTGCAAGGAAGAACTATTTTATGGACTTAGAAATATTTCATAGTAATTGAAAAATGCGATTCGACAGAGGTGCTACTGAAGACATTTCGACAGGAAGATTTGAATTCAAATAAAGGAGGAAATGTTCATTCTTATCTATTTTTCAAAGAAGACACGTGGAGCACTTCTAAGAATCAAAGACATGCAGAACGCCACATGTCTTGATCTAGTTTGCTAGCCGCTGATGGCAGTTATTTTCGATTAGTATAAATAGCAAGTCTTAGTGTTAGGATTTGGGGGTGTTCAATTGTGTACAAATTCCTCAATATACTCCAAGTACCCGCGTGTAGAGAAACGAGTTTGTGAGAATGTACGTTGATGTAACACCATTTTTACATTTCAATGAAATTCAATACGTCTTTTTCATTAAGAATTTATCCTTTCCTTATGCAAGTTACTTTCTACATTTTTTACCAGTCTTTCGACTTTAATCCTTCGTGTTCAATTCCATTTACATTTGAAATAAGTTATTTTATCATGAACTCTGTCGAAGTGTTCATTGTTTTTCTAAACTTTGTTTAAGATCAATTAGCACATGTCCTAGGATTTGTGTGGTCGATCCTGCAAGTAAAATAAATCTTTCTAGATTTGGAAGACCATCGATTATTCACTAATTTTCACGGAGAGCAAATTGGCACGTCCAGTGGGACAGTGCTAAGTGGTCATAAAATTTGCTTTGAAATTTTTGAAATTCATTAGTTATGCGGTCAACTTTCTCTTTGAAAACTTTGTTGAATGTTATTAAGAAGTGGTAAAGTAGCCACTGCTAACGAAGATAGAACAAGGAGAAGATATAGGAAGAGAATGGCGACAAACTTTAACCAGCCAAATATTCCTCAGGATACGCCTAGTAATAATGTAGAACCACCCATAGGATCTTCGACAAGAGGACCAACGGTCTCAACGCCTGTCTCTGAAGCAATACCATCTATGGGAAGTTCAATACCTACACATTCGATTGCCCATACATAACCCATTCTGACTTATATTGAGCCAAAGGGTCCTCCGCAGACTCCACCACCAATAGGGTCTTCAGCATTTAAGAGTGTCTCTCCTCTTGGATTTGCAATACCCCTACCTCGAGACCCACGTTATGGAATGTCAACTTCGATGATGACAAATTTACAAAACGCCACTCTGTTATATACAGAACTCGTAATGACTTCGCCATTATAGGGATCAGGCTATAGAGTAAATATGGGTCGAAATAGTCAAACTTTAGGATTAGGGTATTTCGCCCAAATGCCAAAATTGACAACCAGTTTTGCATCATACTTATGACAACAGATGGACGAAAGTAACCTTCAAATGGTCCAAAAGATGTTCCAAACGACGAGGGAAATCTTTCAGCCTCTTATTCAGAATACTACCCAAACTAATTAATAATTAGCAGTGCAAATGATGCGCCTTATAGAATTCTTTGGTGTACCAAATCCCCCTCGACAACCACCAAGGGAGTATATGATAGAAAGTTAAGGGGTAGTTTTCGATGAAGATACCACAATTAACCAAATTCAACAAAATTCGGGAAATATACCTCAGGCAAATCAAAACAACTAGGGAATAATCGAACGACCTAGAGTCGAATCCCCTAGGAATCAACCACAAATTCCTAGAGAAGAAGAACCAATGGTAGTTTTGGTAAATATGAACCAGGATGCTGAAAACATTGTACAGTAAGTTCGACGTAACAACGTAGTAGCAGATAATAATTTGGTTGCCATGGTCGAAATAATCATGGCACATAACAGAGTAAATTTTGGCCTTCGACGGCCAAATTATACATCACCATTATCTGAATACATCCTTCAGCCAGATTTACCCCCAAGAACAAAGGTTCCTAAGTTTACTAAGTTTTCTGGGGATACTACTGAGTCCATTGTCGAACATATTGCTAGGTATTTGATAGAAGCAGAAGAAATTACGAATGATGAAAACCTTAGAGTAAAATGTTTCCTAAGTTCTCTTACAAAGAACACTTTCACTTGGTTCACAACCCTACTTCCAAATTCGATTCATAATTGGACCCAGTTAGAACGCTTGTTCCATGAGCAGATCTACATGGGACAAACAAAGATTAGTTTGAAGGAATTGGCTAGTATAAAATGAAAGTTTACTGAGCCAATAGAAGATTATTTGAATAGGTTTCGACTTCTCAAGGCAAGGTGTTTCACACAAGTTCCAGAACATGAGTTAGTCAAAATGGCTGCTGTGGGCCTGGACTATTCCACCAGAAAGAAATTAGATACTCAATACCTGAGGGACATGGCCCAGTTGGCCGATAGGGTTCGAGAGTTGGAACGCTTGAAAGAAGAAAAGGCTAGGGAAAATAAGAATAAGAGAATAGCATATGTCGAGTTCAATGAAGAGGACGAAAGGCCTTACAGTGAGCCTGTGAGTTTCGATGAGAATGAAGTATATCTCGCTGAATTGGAACAAGGCTCACCCTATTCTTGCAAAGTTTTACCACCTTTGAATGGAAAGAACCCTGCCGAACCAGAAAAGAATGATAGGTTTCCTAAGAAAACTTACACATTCGACGTCACAAAATGTGACGAAACCTTTGATTTGTTAGTTAAGGATGGGCAAATAATAGTACCACCTGGTGCTAAAATGCCTCCTTTAGAGCAAAGAAAGAAAAAAGGGTTTTGTAAATACCATAATTTCTTGGGTCATAAAACCTCTCAATGTTTTCTTTTCAGGGATCTTGTTCAGAATGCTATCCTAGAGGGAAGACTCAAGTTCAGGGAGAAGTCCAAGAACCAAATGAAAGTCGACACTGATCCTCTATAGATTGCTGACGCTCATTATATGGAGCCAAATGAAGTCAACATGATCGAAGTCGCTGAAGATTTTGACAATGCAGTCAACATGATTGAAGCCAATAAAGACTTCATAAATGAGGCTGTTTTGGTCCAAGTTACTGAAGATCTCGACCAGAAGTTCATGGAATATTTTGTTTGCGTAGCTACTGAAGGCTTTATCAAAGAAACTACTGATAGTTTTGACTACGGAGTTACTGAAGACTCCAACCTAATGATGATAACAAAGGAAACTGCTGATGATTTTGTTCGAATGGACAAGGTCGCTGATGGCCTTCAATTGAAATTCTGTAAAATGGATATTGTTGATGATGTCAATATGGATATCAACGTGGTGGAGATCTCACAAGAAACCCATGAAAGCCGATGAGGAGCGTCGATAGAAAGAGTATAACAAAGTGGCTTACCCAAAGCACGAGGAGATCCTCATAGATTTTCT